GCAAAAGCTAATTCAGATTCAAAACCAAACCTTCTAGGTTCTCTCGTCTGTCTCCTCTCTCTATCCCTAACTAAGTTATAGTTAGCTGAAGGATTCTCTTCCTCATAGTGTTCTTCTGTCACTATTTCGTTACTATTCTCCACTTCGGGTTCCTGAGTTTGAGTCTCCACCTCATTTGAGACAGTAGGGGCAGGTGGACTGAGTTTTCCTAACTCTACCTTAAACTGGTCTCTCTCTTCACCTGATTCTACTTCACTCTCAGGTTTAGTTTTCCCTTTAATACACGGCATCTCATTTTCGTTAAACGTGACATCTCTACTTATGATGATTTTAACTCCTTTTTGGCTTCTATCCCATAACCTATAACCCTTAACACTCTCGGAATATCCTAAGAAAACACACTTCCTAACTCTAGGTTCCAGCTTATCCTCACTTTGATGAGAAAAAGCTGTACAGCCAAAAGTTCTAAGTATCGAGTAATCACTCGGTTTACTCGACCATCTCTCATGTAGAGTGTCACCATTCAATACAGTAGAAGGAGTGAGATTGATCAAATAGCAAGCTGTCATAACAGTCTCACCCCAAAATGACTTGGGAACACCCGAACTGATCATCATGCAACGTACTTTATCAAGTATGGTTCTATTCATCCTTTCTGCTATCCCATTTTGCTGAGGGGTGTAGGGAACGGTCTTATGTCTAGTTTTGCCACTTTCTTTACAAATACTATCAAATTCTTTATTGCAGAATTCTAGGCCATTATCTGTCCTTAAAAATTTGATTTTCTTGCCAGTTTGATTTTTCACTTGTCTCTTCCAATTATTAAAATTATTGAAGGTCTCAGATTTATCCTTCAAAAGATAGACCCACACCTTCCTAGTGTAGTCATCAATAATAGACAGGAAATACCTATTACCACCCGATGTGGGATTACTGGCAGGACCCCAAAGATCAGAGTGCACATATTCGAGTATGCCTTTAGCTCTATTAACATTCGTGGAGAAAGAAGTTTTGTGATACTTACCAAGCACACAATGATCACAAAATGGCAAATCTGACACACAGTCATTACCAAAAGCACCCTTTTCATTAAGTAGCTTAAATCCCTTGACTCCTACGTGAGTAAGTCTATTGTGCCATGTGTGTGTGTGATCAATCTTGGCAGAGGAGATAGAGGAATTCACATCTCTAATCACTTTCCCAGTAGTAATGTATATATCGTTTTTCTTAATTCCCTTAATGGAAACTAAAGCACCCTTGATCATTTTTAGCATACCATTTCCAATTTTACCAGTAAAGTCATCCTTCTCAAATCTCCCTACTGAAATCAAATTCCTAGACAATTCAGGAATATATCTAACATCCTTTAACGTATACACAAAACCCGTGTCAAATTTTACGTTTATGTCACCAATTTCAGCAATAGTATAGGCAAAGTTATCACACAGCACAACATGCCCAACGTTAGATTCATGCAACTTATAAAACCAGTTCTTTTCAGACGTCACATGAAAAGATGCACCAGAATCAAGTATTCACTCATGGATGCGGGAATTAGCAGTTAGATTTAATTCAGCAGTGTATGCAGCTGGACTTGTAATCAAATAGACCTCACTACCATTTATATCAGAAGTAGATGCTAACACATTTACCTCATCTCTCTCCTTAGCTTTTAGCTTGCTCTTCTCCTTATGACAATCTTTTATAAAATGCCCTGTGTTTCCACAACCACAGCATTTTCTCACCTTAGTCCTAGATTTTGATCTAAACCTACCTTTGCTCTTCTTTTTCCATCCATTACCACTTGACTCGCCACTAGTTTGATATCCCTCATAACTATTTTTCCTAAATTGAGTTCTACCCCGCATCATATGTACCTCACCATTCCTCTTATCATGTTTTTCAGCCCTAATTTCCATTTCTTTACTTCTAAGGGAATCTATGACAATTTCAGGTGTTAATGTGTATCTACCATACTTAATGGCGTTCTTAACTTCCTTATAGGAATCAGGGATTGCATTGAGCAAAATTATAGCCTTATAAGTTTCGGACACAGTCTCATCACAATTAACTATGTCTTGCACCAATTTGTTAAACACGTCTAGATTGTCATCAAAATCCTTTGAGGGATCCATTTTGAAACTGAAAAAATGTTCGAGCAGGTAAAGTTTATTAGGTGTAGACTTAAGAAAATACAAGTCTTCTAAATTCTTCCAAAGTTCTTTAGTGTTTTTTAATTTTCCCACCTTTCTTAAAACGGCGTTAGACAAGTGTAAGATAATTGAGGTATAAGTAAGCGCATCGGTTTCTTCTCTTTGTTCTTGTGAAAAATCAGTTGAAAAATTGCCTTCAATGGCTTTTGAAACTTTTTGTTGGACTAAAATACCCTTCATTTTTTGTTGTCAAATAGCAAAGTCACCATTTCCTTTAAAAATTTCCAAATCAAAACTGTGAGTTGTCATCTTCACACAATAGTCAAAATTAATGCACAAACCACAATCAAACCACACAAAGTAGTCCTAGAGGTCACGGACAATATACACCATTCTAGATTCCCAGGATTTCGTAAGACTCGCAGTCTTAGATCAAGGGAATGTTCGAAAGGGTAAAATCATGGTATTTCTAACGGAATAAGTAAGCAGCGGAAATAACAGTGCAGCAAAAAATATGTCTAGCAGATAACTAGTCCCACAGTAATTTGATAACTAAGAATTACAATACTGATTTTAAACCCAAAAACAAATACTTAATCAAAAAAGATCAATCAAGAGCACATAACCCTAATTCTAGCACAAGTAATGGTTGCCAAGCAATGACAACCCCCAATCTATTGTCACCCCACACGGTGACGAGCTAATGCTGAAAAAATTAACGGGTTAAGCCAATTTACCAGAGTGACCGTGTCTGAGTCCGTATAATCGAGAGAGATGCGAATCTACTGCTTTAGGGCCGCAATCTTGGCCTAAAGTAATTCAGTAGATATATGCATATTCAACTGTCGATCCACCGGGGGAAAAATTGTCCAACTTTTTCTGTATAACCTGAAACAGAAAATAAACAGTGTCAGTGCGTTCAGGGGATTAAAATGAGCAAACTGCCCGAAGGAAGTTCGCCCGGAATCGTCGGGGCCCCGCGCGTCGCCGCCGCCGCCATGCGCCACCTACGAAGGAGCGCCTCATCCTGCTGATCCCGAATATGGGATCGGTTTCGCCGAAAAGTGACTGGATTGGCCGAAAATAAGGGTTGCAGCCACGATTTTTCCACCCAAACTCGCGACTGCCGTCGATTTTTTGCTGATTTTCAGGCCGGGAAAGCTGCTTCTGCCCTAATACCAGATGTAGGGTTGATTTCCACCGCCACCACGTGCAAAACCGGGCTCAGTTTACCACAACATCGACACCAACACCGTTGAGACAACTCCAACACCACCACTTGCCGCGCCCCACTCCAGTTGCTATCAATTGGAGAAGGAGAAACACAATAATGTGCCCACAAAAGGTTAACCACTAAGGTTACAGTGAGGGAGAAAGGAGAGGCCAAGAGGGAGACTCACAAAGAGAAAAGAAAATTGCACTCTATGGAGGCCGAGACACGAGAGGGATTATATGCCAAGTAAAATGTCCAAATAGGTAAGTTAGGTTAGGGTTAAGTGGTGGATCAACAAACGAGGCTCGACTCAATTAAGTGGACTTCAACAATAATAATATAGCCTTTCAAGGAATGGTGCAAGAACCGTGAGCAACACTATAAAAATAGGTTGTTTCGAACGATCCATAATGAAGTAGATTGTGTTGTCTCGATAATTGTGTCAATGTACTAATCAATCATTTGGTCGAGGCCGATTGATAATAAACAACCGAGGTTACATCATTGCCCGGGGAGGTCGTTTGACAACAAAATTGCCTAACAATATTACTTATAAATAAAAAATTTCAGCTCAACTGAACATTCAACCATTTAAATGAAATAGTTCAACACATTATTATTAGAGAAAATAAACAAAAATCTAGCGGATAGTGACTTTTCTTCTCTTAACAACCCAATCCATTTGTTGACCACAATTCAAAAGTCTCTTTTGATCACAATTGGTAGCTAATATGCAGTGCAAAAGCAAAAAGTGATTTTGGTGCACAAAATTCAGAAATAACAGCTAATTTGTGATGTCCAAATGTTCACTTTTTCTAGCTGTCAAACTAGCATTTGGATCATTTCTGAAAATTTTCCATTCAATGAACTGTAAATTCGATATTTTTCAAAGTCTAATATTTATATTTGTAAGTAACGTATGATATTTTTTAAAGTTTAGTGGTCAAAACTCGACATTTTAAACTTTGATAAGCAATCGAAGATATAGATCTAAGTTCAGTGACAAAAACTTGATATTTTAAACTTCATTGTTCAATCAAAGATATGGACCCAAGTACAGTGACCATTGGAACAATTAATTCTTTTTATTGCTAATAATATTAAGCCCAAGTTTAGTAGGGATTAAAATTAAAATTTTAATTTAAGTCAAAATTAATAATTATTATCATAGGGCCAACTATTTCAACCATATATTTTTATCAATTATTATCAAAATTTATAAAAAAATCTAATTTTTAATCCCCGTCAATCAAGGAATAAAAGCAAAATGTACAGGACATGATGGAAAGGATTATTTCCGCGCCTAATCTTATATGAGGACGTTGGTACCAAGATTAAAGGGATAGACCCTGATTTCACCGAGACGTTAGGTTGAGACCAACTGTGCAAATACGCCCAAATTGAATTAGTAGTTTGCAATTTTTAGTCCCCGTTTGGCACCCATTTTGTAGAAATAAAAATGAGTGGATTAGTATTTTTTTTTTTTTTTTTAGTGAGTGATTGAAAAAAAAAAAGAAAAATTTTTAATTCACGTGTAATATTATTTTATGGAAGATTGTGTAATTGAAAATAGGAGAGAAAAAAATAAAATGTAATGTTATAAAAATTAAACGAGGGTCAAGCGGGGGCTTTTCCATATACAAAACTTGCACGAGCAAGTAGCATGCTTCGGGAGACCTTGCTGGAATCCGAGAAGTCTCCGAGCAGAGATCCCGATTCCCCGAGATCTCAATTCTTCACTAGCAAGAAGAATCCCTGATTGGAATTTTTATATAGCTTCTACATATTTCTAATTATTTTCAATCTCTGATCTCTTCAATTGAAATCCATTCTTTAAATCAATCAATAAAATCAAAATACGGACAGAAATGGGTTGTTTGCAATCAAACCCATTTCACAGGATACCCTTTTTCCTTATCCTTTTCTTCTTTCTTTCGTTCTCATTCCCTCATATTTTAGCCCAGGTAATGTGATATTTTCTTGTTTTTTTTGGATTTTTATTTTGATTTTGATGTTCATGGTAATCATATTGCGTGTGCTTAATTTTAGGAATCTGATGGTGATGATGCAATTAAGGATCTGGGTCGGCGTAGCAAAGTGAGTATTTTTTTTCTTTCTAGATTGAAGTGTCAGATAATTTGACGGCTGTCTTAATTGTACTAGATCAAATGTTACGAACTTCTAAGGCCTAATGTACTTTATACCAACTTAATATTTTGTGCTTAGAGCATCTCCAAGAGTCTTCAGACACAAAATACTCTTTATTTTTGAGGGTTAATACTTAAAAATTAGCTCCAAGAGTTAAAATAGAGCCAAACACTTTCTCTATTCTTAATGTACAATGATTGCATTTAATGCATTACAAATTTCAATACTCTATAATTTAAAATTTTCAAATTACATTTGAATTGATTGGTCATTAATACATAAAAAATTATACTTAAATAAAATATGTGGAGAAATTATTAAATGTTCATTGGAAAAAACAAAATAAAGAATCAAAATAGAAATCTTGTTGGATTGTATAAAAAAATTACTCTCCAAACTTAAAGATGCTCATTATTATGCTTAAGATGTTCTTTATGAATAGAGAGCCTTTTGGAAATGCTCTTAGCTTGTTGTACTCCTTTGGTTCTTGTACCATGATCGGATACAAGTAATGTACGTGGATTTACAAAGCTCTGGCATGGGCATGTTTGTGGGTTGTTATTCATCAAACAACAGCTGCTCTGCATTCAAGAGTGATCAACTTATAAAATATGATAAGAAAAGGATTTCAGGCGTATCACTTGGATTTTTATTTTTTATTTTTTGGTCAGGGGACAACTGAAAATAAGTGAATCTTACATATATATTTTTCTTGAAAATTGATTCATGTTCATAGTGTCTATTATTTTTTCCTTTTCTAGCAGTTACCTCATGCATCTTCTGTATCTATGAACTGGTTGTTATAGTTTGTGATCGTATGTTCATTTTGGTGGATAGATTTTTGTGGATAAGATAAAGACTGGTATCGTAAGAGATGAGAAAAACCCCGATTCCATTAATGTTGGTGTTGGCCTGGACTCTGGTCTGGGAATATTCGATGCTTTCTTTGCGAGTTTCTCCATGATTCTTGTCAGCGAGGTTAGTGTATTTGTTTGTGCAGTATCATTATATTATATATCATATTGAGTCTTGCTAATGACATGTTTGTTTCTCTGCTTTGATGATTCTTACTAAAGTTTAAGTTCTTAGTGGTAGTTGGATGAAATAACTGATTTTTGCCAGTTTTACAATAAAAACATAACAGAGAGAATATTTGTACTACAAAGTATTTATTTCATCTTGTTTCTTTAATTTAGTCTGATGAATGTATTCTACTGATGACTGCTGCTAGATTGGAGATGAAACCTTTATTATAGCAGCTCTCATGGCAATGCGTCATCCCAAGTCAATTGTTCTATCTGGTGCACTCAGTGCCTTGTTTGTGATGACAGTAAGATGGTTAATCTCTTTTACCATTTCCTGAGTGAAGTGTATGCTTCCTTTACAATCATGGAATGGGTGTTATATCTTTTTGATTCTCAAATTGTTGTCTTTGGACAAAATTTTTTTTAACATTGGGATCCTTGCATTTGTGAAATAGATACTTTCGACTGCTCTTGGTAGGATTGTACCAAATTTGATATCAAGGAAGCATACTAATAGAGCAGCCACAGGTTTTCTATCTCATTTTTTTAAATAATTCACCAAAATGTTGTTTTATTCACTTAGAAGAATCAGGCCTTTCGGGAAAGAGTGCAAGCTTTTGTTGGTTTTGTTCTTCATGGACAAATTATACACTGCTAATTTCTTTAAGTTCAAAATAATCTATAGAAGCCAACCAAAGATATTGTTGGTTTGAATTGGAGAGCGAGTTCCGTACTTTTATAGACTAGTTACCATTCACTTCTATTCATTTTTGCCATTTTGAATTTTCAATTAGTACCTGAAGTAAGATCCCTCTTGCAGTTCTTTATGCCTTTTTTGGACTGCGACTACTTTATATTGCATGGAGATCAGCAGATTCAAAAGCTTCCCAGAAAAAAGAAATGGAGGAAGTATGTTTCTCTAATTTGATATGTAACATTCTGTATCTATTTCATATTATAAATATCTGAATAAATGTTGTCTCTTTGGATCTGAAAATTTTTACACTCACATTTTCTGCATGAGATTGGTCCAATATCAATCTTATTGCGNGACAATTGCTGTAAGACTTATTTTGCACTTATCAAGTGGCCTTGGTTTATGCATTCATTGTTCTTGATCGAGATAGATTTTTTCTTTGTTTATAGGTCCTTTTCTTTTCTTTTTGCTTAAATTCTCTTAAGTCTCAGCCATTAGAGGTCCAATTTTTCGGAGAGTGTAAATTGATCTTCAGCTCCCATTACTCCTCCACAGATTCATGTCTTCCATCACCTGCAATGACTTCTACTTGAAACCCGCAAGCACAACATCAAAGGATTTCGCATGATTAGCAAAGCATAAATATTTGGTCAAACATACTTTTTGTAGAACAACTAGCTATCCACTTATTATTTACATATTATGTAGTATTCACAATTTATAAGCACTTAAAAGCATGACCAAACAAGCACTAAAGGATATTAAGTGCTTTTGAACAATTTTGTGGAAAGTACGTCTCTACAAGCACATGGAAGAGCGCGTTTGGTGAACCTTAATACATGCACTTTAGGTTAGTTTACTTGCAAGTAAATTTGTAAAACTTAAACTAAATAATTTTTCTTTCTTGAAAATAGTTTAGTGAGTGAGTTTGAAAGTAAATCTTTGGTTTGATACAGTGTAAAAGTTACTTTCAAAATAAGTAACTATTTTAGTTAAAAAGTACGAATATAGTAACATAGCATGTTTGGCAACAAAAAATAACTTTTTCTAAGCTTAGCCAAATATTTGTGGAATCATTGCTGCTTACTTTAGATTGTTTTGTTGTGAATGTTTGATTAGTTGTGCCATGCTGTTTCATACCATACACTTTGCATGTACTCAATCATCCATCTGATAAATGAAATCCTAAATTTCTCGGTTCCCATATTTTGATTTTCAACTGCAAGTGAAGTGATCTTAAAATCCACTTGATTTTCTAGTTTGCTATAAATGAGATTTGTTCTACTTTTCCACAGCTAGCTACTCACAAAAGTGCTATCGGAGTAGCAGTAGGGGCCGTTATAGGACACGCGATTTGTACATCATTAGCTGTTGTGGGTGGAAGCATGCTTGCATCCAAGATCTCCCAACGCACTGTTGCCGCTGTCGGTGGGCTACTTTTCCTTGGTTTTTCCTTGTCTTCGTACTTCTATCCTCCTCTTTGACCATGGAAGTTTTATCCATCAACTACGTTCTTTAGGAGAAATCGTGCTATGTTTTTTCAAGTCGATGTCTGTTAGGAAAAGTTGAACGCCACAAGTGCGGATTTTTTATGGAGTATATTGTATACATATCAACATTATGGTACAATTTATTTGTGTCCAGTTCTGAATGAAGGTCAATAGTAGTACTTTGGTTCTTTACTTTTGATTGTTATTGCAGTTAAAAAATTAATTTTTACCAAACAGATGGTTGTATTTTTAATTTAAATAAAAAGGAAAAGAAATTAATTCCATGTTTAATTGGCAAGTATGATATTTATTACCAATTCATCTTGTTCATGTTGGTTAAGAATAGTAGTTTTCATAGTTGACGTCCAGAGTTTTTTCACCCTCTCAAAAATAAAATAAAATATGATCTTTATTTCATTTCCGTTTATATTCTAAAGCATTATCATGGTATAGCAGCAGTCCTTTTAGCAAAAATTTAACTTACAAATCACACCAAAATCAAAATGCTATGTTTAAAATGTTGAAGACAACATGCTATAGAGGTAATAGGTTAGGGACCAATTGCGTAAACTTTTCTATTCTCGTTCCCAAGGAAACACATGTTATCTACGGAGATTTTTATAAATGACCTGCCACTATTCATTTTTGATAAAATGTCTATAATACCCTTAATGAAAGGATTTGTCATATTTTGCACAAGATATCCTTAATTTATTGGGATAGTTCTAAAATTCTTCTATTTCTCTCATTTCGGGTTTTAATATATAGTTCCATCCTTTGATCTAATAAATTAGCATAATCTGTAATATAATTGTCATGTAATTCACTAAGATTATCATATTCCTTAGATGAAATATCAATAATCTCTAGTTGAGCAAAAATATTTCTCATTTTCCTTAATAGTTTTTCTAACAGATTATCTAATCCTTTAATTGTATAACCTGGCATTATTCAGATAATTTCTTGCAAGCTTTATGAATAATAACATGTTAGATAAGTTTTTTTGCAAACATGAAAAGTAATAATCCCTACGATTCTTTTAATATATTAGAAGAATTCTTTCTAAATTTATCAAAGACAATAATTTTACCTTACTTTTGATCTTAAATCTGTATTCTTAGAACCGAGTGACCTTCAGGCTCTGAATCTGCAAACTGCTTCCTTAAACGGCCTCTTGCCTCAATGGGAATTCTGCTATTTCAGCTTCTGCCCTCACTGTATCTTTTCTTAAAATTAAGAGTAAAGATCTTAAGTAAAGAAAATTCTCTCTTTGTTAAAGTAAGAAAGAGATTATCTTCTTCAATCTATCAAGAATCTATGGAATAGGAAGTTTAGAAACTCATATTTTTTTGATATCAAAAGATTGAAATTTTATTTCTATAATAATTTATACAAGATTTCTATTGTATACAAGGGATTTCCAGAAAAACTGGTTTTGAAAGCTTAAGGAAAGAGAATGGTTTCTAACTCGAGATAATCCATTCTTTCCTCAAATACCTCTATTTATACATGACTCAAACTCACTATTATTGATCTATTACATCATTGCATACATCAGAATTTTGAAAAAAGGCTCACATGCCTCTCTATTCTTTTCCTCCTGGGGTCTACATTGTCACATGCATTTTTTGCTTTTTCATCAAAGTGGTATCTTTTCTTCTATTATTCCCTTTTCATCTTTGGCTTCATATGCAACTGGCTAGATGCTTTTCTATTATTGCTTTTCCATCTTTGGCTTCATATGTAGCTGGCCAGATGCTTTGGTAGTAGTAGGTTCTTTTCCATCCATCAATCTTTCAATTTTGTCTACATGTGGGGCACTCCCTCAATCTGCATGATTCTTGGATTGTTGTTGGACTTCCACTAATTTGATGAGTATCAAATTTCTGGATATATTCTTTCAAAATGGTAGATTTTTCTTTTCCATTATTTGTAAGGAGTGTCCATCCTTCATATTGGCACAAGCATCTGAATTTTTTATCATATAAGTTCTTTGCAATGTTGTAAAGAACTTTCATCCCCAAAACTATTCGAGATTTTATCCATGATTTATTGACTTTAGGCAATGGTTTATTATTTCGGCCAACTTCAATCTGGAAATCTCGGCCAACATATCCAATTGTAATAATATGTTCAGCAAGATAGTATATCCTTCCATCAACTTGGGACTTATTGAATAAAATTTGATATAAATCGGCCTCCCTTGGGCAAATTTTGAAACTTCTGCCCTGAATATATCATCAAATTTTTTAATTTTTTTTAAATCTTTTCCTGGATAGATCAAATCCAGAAATTCATAATCTGCTGCCATTTTGACCATGAAAGGGTCTGCATCTTTGGTAATTATTAATCTAGGATAAACATGATCTCCTGATGCAATAAAATAAGATTCATTTTCTTCCAATTCATAAACAATTTTGGCAAATGATCTATATTCTTCTTCTTTTGATGATAAAGGGGTATCATCATTTTCATCAGTTTTGATTCTTATAACTCTTATATGTTCATCGCCATTTTTTATAGTTACCTTCCGGGGACTTGCTATGTCTCGTTTGATATTGCTGGGTCCAATGCTGCTTCCTGGCTGTGTACCTGTTTGTATTTTTGAGATTGTATCAATTGGTATTTCCCGTTTGGTATCTAATGACTCGAATTGTGAAGTAATATCAACAATTCTGTTATTCAATTCTTTGATATATTTGGAATGAGAATTAGAGATTTTCACCAACAATTTGACATTTTGTTTGATAGATTCTGCCATTTCCTCTAACTACTCAATTCCAATTTTCATATCTTCAGATTCTTCCATGAGAAATTTCATTCGTCTGTTGACGTCTATTAATAAATTTTTGATATTATCCATCTCCGAATTCGATATTCCTGCTCAAAAAATCTGCAAGATAATTATTTATTCCTTTAATATGAACAATATTAAAATTGTAGAATGATAAATATGCTTGCCATCTGTGTAACCTTCTATATTGAGGTTCCATAGGTAACTTATTTCTAATAAGTCCTGCAACTTGAGAATTATCAGTTTCAACAACAAATTTTTTAGATAAAAGGAATAATGAAAACTTTTTTATTCCTCTAATAATTGCTAATAATTCTTTTTCATGAGTAGTATAATTTATTTCTGCTTGGTTAAAAGTTCCACTTGAATATCTACATATTTCATTTAAATCTGTTTTTAATATAGTTGCCCAATATTTATCCGAGGCATTAGTATTGACAATTAGATTATCTTTTTCATCTGGTAATCTTAATTTTAATAAATTTTTACATTCTTCTTTTAATGATTTAACAATTTCAGTATGTTCTTTATTCCAACCTTTAGTATTTGTTTTCCTAAGTAGAATTTGTATCTTATGTCTCTTTTTTGAGAGATTTTCAATAAATCTTTCAGCATAGTTTAAACATCCTAAAAATTTTTGTATTTGTTCTTTGGATTTTAATTCATCTGGAAAGCTTTCTATCTTTTTAGATATATGAGTTTGTAATTTTATTCCCTTTCTATCTATTGATAATCCTAGAAAATCTATTTCTTGTTTTTTATTATAGATTTCTTTTTGGAAAGTACAATCCCTTCTTTTTTGCATTTATTTATAAATTGTAATAAATGATTCCTATGCTCTTTTTTTATTATTAGAGCATATTAGTATATCATTAATATAAACAATAAGAAAATCACTATTCTTTGTGAATATATTATCCATTCTTCTTTGAAATATTTGTGGTGCATTTTTTAAACCAAATGGCATAACTAACCATTCATATTTTCCTTGAGGTGTACTAAAAGCTGTATATTGTATACTATCTTCTTCCATTTTTATTTGCCAAAATCCTGATTTACAATCAAATTTGGAATAATATTGTTTTCCTTTTGCAAGGTTTATTAGGACTTCTTTATTTGGTAAAAAGTAACCATCAAATTTAGTATATTTATTTAATTCTTTATAGTTTATTACCATTCTAACTTTTCCTCTAATCTGCTCAGAATGTTTCATAACCATAAAAGTTGGACTACTATGAGGTCCATTACTGAGTTTAATTAACTTTTGTTCTAATAGTTCTTTTATTTGGATTTTAAATTCTTGCATATCCTGTAAGGTATACATCATTGGTTTAACTTTTATTATGATGTTTTCTGTTAATTCTATTTTAGATTTAGGATGATATGGTTTCCAAAATAATAATGGATTTTCTCCATAAATTTTTTCTAATTGTTCTATGATGTTTCCCATACTTATCTCTATTTCTGTTTTTAGTATCTTTTTATATGATAATTATTTATTTTTTAGTTCATCTTGTATTATTGGTTGTTTTTCCCATTTATCACCACGCTGGGCTGGCTAAACTCTGTAGGATCTAAATTCTCTTGGTATTTTTAATAGATGTGCACAAAGTGTTTGTAACATTATCATGTAATTATTTTGTTTGTAATATTGAAATTGTTGGATAAAATCATTTCCTAATAATATATCACATTCTAATTTATTATAATTATATACTTTATTTATTATAACTTGTTTACTACCAAATATTATATTAACTTTTTCAGCACTATCAATTATTTGAGTACTTTCTCCAGTTACTCCTATTATTTTTATTTTACTATTTTTATTCCATGATTTTATTAAGAAATTTTAAAAAACTGTTATATCACTTCCTGTATCAATTAAGGCACAAGTTGTTGTGTTTGTTTCTACTATAGTAACTTGTATATATACTATCAATGGAAAGCTTATTTGATTATTCATCCACTTCCTATTTTACATAATGTAGTTTGTCCTTTATGAGTTATATATAATCCTTCTCTTTTTATACTATAATCTTCTAATCCATTTAAGAAACTCATTCTTAATAATATATGAGGTTCAATATCCATACTTTCATCCAAATAACATGGCATTAAAAGATCAATCCCACCTATTTTTATTGGTACCTTTACCTTTAATTCTGTAATATATAGTTGTCCATCAAAATTCCTATGTTCATATGGTTCTATCTTGTAAGTCATTAATCCTTCATTTTTATTTGCAGCCATATGACATTCACCGGCTCCTGTATCCATTAATATGTTTGGTCCTTTTATATACCTTCTACCGTTGAAATATTTTCCTTCTATTTTCATATTTCCAATATTTCCATGAGATTTTATTTCTTTTATACCACTAGTTTCTCCCAAATAT